GACTGCGGTTCTCTGTGTTACGGCTGCGAGTCCAGAACGCTGCGCCACCGTCTTCCACAAGAAGGCAGTTTCAGATTTACACCGTTTGATCTTTGATTTCAAAATGGCTCCCGATGATTTACCTGAACTTCTTGACTTCACAACCCTCTAAGAGCTCGGAGATCTTCCAGCGAGGTGCTTTTAGTCCAGCTGACGGCTGAATTGAAGCGCAGAGGGAATCGGACCGCCGGACTCTGGAACCTACCCTTTGTTGTCCGTCCTGCTTATTCAGTCGTTCAGGCTTTTAATCGTTTCCTTGTTTTTATTTTACCTGTTGGTTTTTAATTTACTGTATTTATTTTATTCAATGTTGTCCCCACCCACCCCCATTTCTTTTTTTAAGGCAGGTTGTAAAGCGCTTTGGTCAGCCTTGTTGCTTTTAAACATGCGTTATAACGCCGTCCCAGTCATGTTGGACTTTGTTTTTACAGTCGAGATAAATAAATAACATTATTAAAAGAGAGATGACGGAAACGGTTATCCCCATTTCACTCGTTTCTTTGGCGTTTAGCTTCCCACAAGCTTCACTTTGTTATTTTAGCTTCTCTATATATCAAAACGTTCGGCTTGTTTACAAGATGGGTGCTATGACTTTAGGTTTTCGTAACTTTTATACTTTTCTAAATATTTAACTGTATTTACATATGTTTTCCCATAGAAATACATGAAGTCAGTATATTCAGAAATATTGTTCTCTTTGACCTCTGCTTCAGCTACTTTCTAAATTTTATGCTTCTTTTAGCTTTTAACTTGCCAGTTTATACTTTTGATTTCTAAATAACTACTCGATACATTTAGCTAGTCTTTTGCTAATTTTAGCTTTTTGATAGACTTTTACTACTTTAGCTTTTAGCCACTTTTGGATTACTTTTTGCATCTTGTAATTAGTGTTGGCTAGTTTTAGCTTTGAGCTAGGCTTTGGCTAGTTTTTGCTTTTAATCATCCTTTTGCTATCTTATGCTAGTGTTCTGCTACTTAAAATTTTTACTAGTTTTTATTGATACTTTCAACTATTTTTTAACTACGTTAGCTTTTAACTACCTTTTTGCTACTTTTAGCTAAGCTTTAGCTACTTCTAGTGACTGTTCTGCTACTTTTAGCTTCTATATAACGCTTGGTTTAGCTAGTCTTTTACTACTTTTAGATTTTTACTACTTTAGCTTTTAGCCACTCTTGGTTAACTTTTTTGCATCTTGTAATTAGTGTTTGCTACTTTTAGCGTTGAGATAGCCTTTTGCTAGTTTTAGCTTTTAACCATCCTTTTGCTACTTTATGCTACTGTTCTGCTACTTTAAATTTTTGCTAGTTTTTCTTTATACTTTCAGCTATCTTTTAACTACATTAGCTTTTAACTAGCTTTTTGCTACTTTTAGCTAACATTTTATTCATTTTAACAAGTGTTTTGCTCATTTTAGCTAGCCTTTTGCTACTTCTAGTGACTGTTTTGCTGCTTTTCGCTTCAATATAATGTTTGGCTTTAGCTAGTCTTTTACTACTTTTAGCTTTTTGCTAGACTTTTACTACTTTAGCTTTTTGCCACTTTTGGCTACCGTAACTTTTTGCATCTTGTAATTAATGTTTGCTAATTTTAGCTCTTTTGCTAGTTTTAGCTTTTAACCATCCTTTAGCTACTTTATGCTACTGTTCTGCTACTTTAAATTTTTGCTAGTTTTTATTTATACGTTCAGCTACCTTTTAACTACGTTAGCTTTTAACTAGCTCTTTGCTACTTCTGGCTAACCTTTTATTCATTTTAACAAGTGTTTTGCTAATTTTAGCTAGCCTTTTGCTACTTCTAGTGACTGTTCTGCTGCTTTCAGCTTCTATGTAATGTTTGGCTTCAGCTAGTCTTTTGTTACTTTTGGCTTCTAGCTACAATTTTACTACTTTTGGCTCTCTAGCTAGCATCCTGTTCCTTTTAGCTAGTGTTTTTTAGCTTTAATATTGGAGCGGATTTCAGGAAAGTAATCCAACCCTCAGCTTTGAGGCCACATTTCCACAGAATATGCAGTTTTTTCTGGTTCCTTTGGGATCTGTTGTGTGTCAGTGGACCTCTCAGTACCCCAACCCCTCTCCACAGACAGGTCTGGACTTGTTACCCTGAACTCCAGTGATCAGTAAGTCCACCGCCGTCCTGTATCCACAAATGGCCGAACTGAACTCTCCCTCCGTCTCCTTCTCCATGGCAGCGTTCAGCTCTTTGGCTGCTTGGTTCAGGTACTCCGCATCACTTCCGTTCAGACTGGCCGGAGGCAGCGAGAACAGTTCTGAGTGGTCCGATGAGGGATTTGACCGGTCTGAAACAGAACCAGGAAGAAAAGGGGTTTATTTTTAGTTAAGAACTAATCAGGTAAAGTCTTTTTTTAATCCAAATTATATTCCTCTTCATGTTATCGTCTAAAAATTGGCCGGGATTTGTCGACAATATCTGGTCCCAAGCTCAGACAAAATGTTGGTTTTTTTTTCCATTAGAAGAACTTAGTCAAAGCTATTGGTAAAAAATAAATAAATAAATAAATCTGTACATTTCTTCGATGGCTGTGACTATAATCCCTACATCAAAGTCTGTTCTGACATACATATAAACTACAAATTTATTTTTTTGTCTCAAGGTATTTTTAAGAAAACATTTATTATAAAGGTTTCTTTTTTTAAGACGTCTGGTCTATGCTGCACAGGGGACTATATTAGAGGAAACACCCTTAGAATTATGTCGTTGTGTGTTTCCTTGGATAGCTTTCTGCTTAATTCCACAACATGTACACGTTATTCTTAGTTTGCAGTAACGTATTGTAATGTATTTCATATTCTCATGTTTTTTATTTCATTTCTGTAATGTAATGTGCAACTTAATGGTATTTGCTGCTGCCGTTGTGGCCAGGACTCCCAATTTGATATTTTTTCCTGGTAAAATAAAGGTTTAAAAATGGTAAAATACGAGGGGCAACATCAAAAAAGCAACATCAAGATTAAGTCCCATTTAAAAGTTTTATGTTACAGTTTTTTTTTTGTTTTGTTTTTTTATGTTAAGAAAGTTTGTTTTGAGCTACCAAAGATCATTCCCTCTGGTTATGTGCAGCGAAAAGTTACACGTTTTCATTTATGTATAACAGTTAATGTATTACTGTCCATTGTTTACATTTATATTAGGGATGCGTGATATTATCGGCATGGTATCGATATCGGCCGATATTAGCAATAAAGTGAAATATCGGACATTCCATCAAAATAACTCACCGATTTAAAAGGCTTCTGTTTTAAGTTAAATTTTAATTTAAGAAAGTGTCAAGTATATCTATTAATGCACTACTACACACGCGCTTTTCACTTGTCGCTTGTGAACAGGTTGAGTTTAGATTTGTGAATATGTACAAATTTACACTGTTCAAGTGTTGTCGTGTTAGAGAGTAAATGTCGTGAATAAATGTGACATTAAACATAATCCAAGTTGAAGTGTTACATCATTTTCAGCCCCTTTTTGGCATCTGCATTTGATAGTAGGCCTGTCACGATAACAAATTTTATTGGGCGATTAATTCTCTCAGAAATTATTGCGATAAACAAAAATATTGTTTGAAATTGAAGAAGAAATGTTAGTTAATTTGTTTTTTTTTAGTGTAGTACCTTTTTTGACCACCGGATGGCAGTATAAGACTGAACTGAAGGATGGATAGTGAGGGAGTGAGCAGCGTGTCTCTTTAAGAAAAATGGGAGGGAGGCCCCTTGACGTGACATGGGCTGTCTCTCAATTTTTTTTGGTTCTCAAAATGGCAGACGCTCTGTGTGGTTTGAGCTCTTTAGCATAGAATTTTTTACACAAAGCTTTTGATAAAAAAATCAGTAAACAAGTTCTCAGCTTCTTTTTGCAGAGAAAAACAACTTTTTACACGAAGGCACAGGTTTACACTGTGAATTTTGGAGCTTTGATAAGACGGAGGTCGGTCCCCCCCAAACAGAGGGATTCAAACCAAACCAAAAATAAAATCTGGCGTTTTACTCCAGAGACATCGACACGGTCCAGATATGAATCTTAAATTTTCAGGATGTATTTGACAGAGTCGTTGGTTTTACGTGAGCAGAGTTTAAATGACAAAATAAAACAAGGACCCAAACAAAACGATGTGAGAGCAAAGCCTGATCAGAACCACTACAGGTTCACTGAACGTGACAAACGGACTTTAAGAACGTTCCCGCGCTGCGATGAATCACTATTCTATTCCTATAAATATTTGGGTATCTTGGTCGACTCACATCTCTCTTTTAAGCTCCATGTGGAAAACTTGGTAAAGAAACTGAAAGTTAAACTGGGTTTCTTTTTCAGAAACTGATCCTGTCTAACTCTGAATGCTAGAAAACACCTTGTATCTGTGACCTTCCTTCCCTCCATTAACTACAGTGACATTATTTACATGAACGCTCCTACAAGAACCCTGCAGATGTTGGATGCTGTCTATCATGGTGCACTAAGATTCATAACTGGCTGTGATTATCGTACCCACCACTGCACCCAGTATTCACTGGTTAACTGGACATCATTAACTTCACGCAGACTCTCTCACTGGTACATTTTCATCTTTAAATCACTTCTTGGTCTGCTGCCTTCATACATCTCCTCCTACATGTCTCTGTGTGAGTGCAGCTACAGCGTGCGCTCTCAGGACATCATTACCTGCAGTGTTCCCTCAATGAGGACTGAACTTGACAAAAGGACCTTCTCCTATCCGCTCCTGTTTTCTGGAACATCTTACAAAAAGACCTGAAGCTCTCGACCTTGACCTCTTTATGGCTTTAAGAATCTGTTGGACTCCTGGCAGGGACCAACGCAGACATGTTCCTGTTTTTAGTTTTCTACATTCGCCTTAAAATCTAGCTGTTTTTTGTTACTTTTCTTTCTTTTAGCCATCCTATATGATTAAAAAAAAAATCTGTATGACTTTTTATAACTGTTCATTGTCGTCATCATTCTTTGTTGAAATCAGGTCTCTCTTGTAAATGAGTCCTCGAGGCTCAGTGGGATTAATCTGTCTAAATAAAGGTTGAATGAAAACAAACTGTGTTTGGATTCACACCTTGTTGAAAGCAGGGATCAAAGACTGCCAGGTCGTTTTCTGACAGCGGAGGGAGTCCCTCCTCCTTTGGCGACGGGACGTGCTCCTCCGCGACGGAGTCAAACAGTGAATCAAACTCCTCCTGGGTCTCCTCGGACTCGTGGCGTCTTACTGGGGATAGTTCAGGAGACGAAGCTAAAGGCGGAAACAGGCAAAGAAAAGTAAGAACAAGAACTTTAATAAAAACTGTTCTAAAGTCAGACACTTACCGTGTTCGTCTGCGTCGCTAAAATCCTCCTCTTCTTCTCCCCTCGGAGATCCTCCCATCTCACTGTAGGCCTCGGCTGCCACCTCCGGCTCCCCGACCTCTAGGCTGATGTTGGTGCCCAGGTCTTGGGGTAAGGTGGGAGCCTCCCTGCCCTCCTCCTCTTCTGCAGGCTCACAGTCTGAGGCCCTCCGCTCGGGGAGGGGGATGAGCGGAGGAGGCAGAGGCCCGGCCGAGGCCAGCGGGGAGGGATCCAGAGGTCTTGTGACTTCACCGCCCTGAAGGAAGAGAAGGAAAAATGGCTAAGTGTGACGAGAAAAGAACGTTTAAATCTATAAACGACCGAAAAGCTCAAAGTAGAACAAAGTTTGGCAGCTTCTTCTGCGTTTACGTCCTCACTCTGAAGAAGTCCTTGAGCTGAGGGCTGTTGTAGAGCGCAGGTATGGTGGTAGTAAACAGCAGCATGTTCTCTGCTGCCGTCCTCCTCTCCTCAATCACAGCTTCTTCAAACCGTCCTGAAATAAATGCAAAATAACCGGAACCGCAATGACAACGGGTAACGGCACAAAAAACATCCACGATAGTAGAAAAAGGAGCAATTCAAATGAAAATAATGAAAGTTTCAGTTTTCTTTGTCGAGCAGTTTTGACTAATCCGCAGACGAGTAGAAATCTTGTAAATGAGTCCTCGAGGCTCAATGAGACTAACCAGGGGTCTGCAACCTGTGGCTCTGGGGCCACATGCGGCTCTTTTTGGTCCTCGGTCTGCGGCTCCCACCCCAGATTGTGTTTGCTCAAAGATTGTGGACCCCAGGACTATTCTTCCTGGGGTCCAATAGTCTCTACTATGGTAGAAACTAATGGGGATCCTTAAATAAACAAACAATGCAAAACTTAAATTTGTTGTTTTTTATACCCACAGTAAAGACAAATGGCAAGTCTCAGCAGTTTTTCTGCTAATCTTGAAAAGAAATTGGTAAAACAAGGAGAAAATAATGTTGATTAGCTTTAGCTACTTCATTTATCCAACCTTGCAGTAGGATCTTTGAAATCCACCAGAAATCCTTTGAAACGTGATGAATAATTAATTTATGGATGGATAAACGTAATTAAAGTTAAAGTAAATACAAAATTTGTTTTTTAAATTAAAATTGTCACATGTACATATCCAACAAAACGATCTCATATTTAGACACACTTTAAATTGTGATTTATTAATTTAAAATGGGACATATATTTTATTTTTATAAAATTAAAAGGAAGACTCACATAAACCTGTAGAGTTCATGGGTTTTTTTGTGTAAAATTGGTATGAAATATGTATTTTTTCTGCTTGTTTACATAAACGTGGTCTTTTCTTTAGCACTAAAATGTAAAATTATTAATAAATGTTAAAACTCATTATATAATTTTTGTTTTATAAAGTCACACTGGCTGAAAAAAAAACAACAACCCTCATACGAATATGAAGTGGCCCATGAGCCACTAGTTGATAAGGACCATTGTAGCAGGTTTTGCGGCTCTGGACACGTTTTGTTTAGTCAGTGAAGGATAGAAATGTCTCTTTTGGTTTAAAAGGTTGCAGACCTCTGGACTAACCTGAATAAATAAAGGTTGGATGAAAAAAATGTCACAAGAAACGAGATGTCAGACGAACAAGAACGAGCAGATCCTCAGTGGAAACGACTTGCGTACAACACGCAGCTTTTACAAACTGGTCTGATCCGAGCGTACGTGTTGCGCTCACATCCACCACCCAGCTCTGCGTTCCCGAACACACCGAAAGGCTCCGTTTCACAAAACCTTCGCTCGGCATACCGAAAACCTGCGCCCGCGGAAAAGGTGGGAACTCCTCCATCCTTCTGAACAGGTTCCTGTGCGTGTAGGCCAGATCCCCGTGGAGCTTCTTCAGCTCCGAAAACCTCTTCCACACCACCACCTCCTTCACGTCCTCCGGGTGACGCTTGGACACGAGCTGCAAAAACAAGAAGGTTGGAGTCAGACCAGCTTTGTGATGGGTTAAATGATAAATCACGTGGGGGTGTTTGTCTGTCACCACCACAGGCCACTGAAGTGTCACAAGTCCTCTTTGTGTTACACTGCCTCTAATAAAGGATCTATTGTGTATTTATTTAAATATATGCCCGAGCATTGGACATTTGTTTTACTTCAGTGCCTTTTAATCGAACACTAAATTATTTTATACATCTTAATAACTACAATTACGCAATCAATACAGTGAAATCTGCAGAGAGCGTTGGAAGAGTTGAGACTGACCCGAGCTGTCACTTTGTATTCGGTGTGCCCCTTCTCGTGTTTTCGCGGGTCGGTAACCGAAAAGAAGCGATGGTATTCTTCTTTAACTCTTCGTGACATGTCCGCTGTCCGTAAAGAAAAGGAATACAACTCGGAGCCACGAACCGAGCGGTTAGAAACGCGGCAGCGAGCGGCTCTGTTGTGATTTTACTCCGCTCTGTGGACGTTTCCTGGTTGGTGACGTCGACGAATGCGTGATGACGTCTGATGGAAGCGACGTCGGCTAGCTAAATAACTAGCTAAAAATACTGTTTTATGTTCTGTAACACCCTTGCTTGCTGTATTTGTGTTTATAATTAGTTTACTATTGTTCTCTTTGTTCATGTATGTTCTATATTTGCAATTAAAAAATAAAAATAACTAGTCAAAAACTGTGTTTCACGTCTTGTCTATGCTAGTTCAGCCATCGATGTCCCTATTAGCCTCTTCACAACAGTTGATCAAATGTTTTTCAGCTTTATTTAGAAAAAAAAAGCCTCATTAGGAAAAATGTTATGATCAATAAACTCAATTCAGGTGTTTTGGACTTTTAATACCCTGCACTCTACATTCAAAGTTAAATGGATCCAAAGATATCTGAAAAATCCAGTGTGGATCCCTACACATATATTTAGAATCCTTGGGTGGCCTAGACTTTTTTCTAAGATGCAACTACATAATATACAAACTTACTGTAAATTTATCCAAATTTCATAAATGCATTTTTTTACTTTTATGCTGGACATTGGACATTGTCCCCCTCATAACTGTCTTATTTGGAGCAACCAAGATGTTTGCTTCAAGCGTAATTTTTGAAGAACTGCGTGGATTACAATACTTGATTTGTAAAACAGTTGTTTAACAAGGATGGACAAATGTTTAGGTATGGTGAATTTCTTTCTGAATATAATATCCCTGTGACGTGACCCCTAAAGACTGCTATTGTTTTAGATGCTATCCCAGCAGGTGTAAGATTCCTCATATCCACTGCTGATTCATTCATTCATTCAACCTTTATTTAGACAGGTAAATCCCATTGAGCCTCGAGGACTCATTTACAAGAGAGACCTGATTTCAACAAAGAAAGATGACACAATGGACAACAGCGACAACAATAAACAGTTGTAAAAAGTCATACATTTTTTTTTTTTTTTTAACAAATAGGATGGCCTAAAAAAAGAAGAGTAAAAAGAAAAGAAAAGTAACGAAAACCAGCTAGATTCTAAGGCAAATGTAGAAAACTAAAAACAGGAGCATGTCTGCGTTGGTCCCTGCCAGGAGTCCAACAGATTCTTAAAGCCACTTAGAGAGGTCAAGGTCGAGAGCTTCAGGTCTTTTTGTAAGATATTCCAAGAAACAGGAGCAGAGTAGGAGAAGGTCCTTTTGACTAGTTCAGTTCGCACTGAGGGGACACTGCAGGTAATAATGTCCTGAGAGCGCACGCTGTAACTGCACTCACACAGAGACATGAAGGAGGAGATGTATGAAGGCAACAGACCAAGAAGTGATTTAAAGATGAAAATGTACCAGTGAGAGTCTGCGTGAAGTTAATGATGTCCAGTGAACCAGTGAATACAGGGTGCAGTGGTGGGTACGATAATCACAGCCAGTTATGAATCTTAGTGCACCATGATAGACAGCATCCAACATCTGCAGCGTGCTTGTAGGAGCGTTCATGTAAATAATGTCACCGTAATCAATGGAGGGAAGGAAAGTCACAGATACAAGGCGTTTTCTAGCATTCAGGGTTAGACAGGATCTATTTCTGAAAAAGAAACCCAGTTTAACTTTCAGTTTCTTTACGAGGTTTTCCACGTGGAGCTTAAAAGAGAGATGTGAGTCGACCAAGATATCCAAATATTTATAGGAATCAACAAACTCAATTGGGACACCATTTGAGGATGAGATCAGAGGAAGAACTGCTGGGACCAACTTCCTATTTGAAAAAAGCATCCCTTTGGTTTGGTCGGCATTTAGGACAAGTTTGAGGTGGAACAAATCTGTCTGGATGATGTTGAATGCAGATTTCAAAAGCTGGAAAGCCTTAGCAACAGTTTTAGCTCGACAATAAACAACTGTGTCATCAGCATAGAAATGTAAAGATGCATCAGGGATGTTTTTACCTACATTATGTATGTAGATTGTAAAGAGGGTGGGTCCTAAGAGTGAGCCTTGTGGTACACCATTGTTGACTGTTAAATAATTGGAGGAAGTACCATTATGTTGAACACATTGCCTCCGGTCTGATCGACAGACAGACAGACAGACAGACAGACAGACAGACAGACAGACAGACAGACAGACAGACAGACAGACAGACAGACAGACAGACAGACAGATAGACAGATAGATAG